CTTCGCTCCTCCGGCTTCCCTCCTCTCCCCCGCTATGGGGAAAGGAAAACGGCTCAGCCGCGGGAGAACCGCCGCACCGGTGACTCCCGACTGCGCCCGTAACTTTTGGGTTAGCTAACTTGCCGCTTCCTGAAGCGGCCTCTGCAGAACGGCAAGCTGTAAGCGGGGCAAAACCAGCTTTGGTTTACCTGAGAGGTCGGCGCGTTCGGCGAAACGCGCTGCTTTGGCCGCATCAGGTAATGGTGCACCTTGGATAGCTACGGAGGGGAAAAGCTGTCTCCCCGTAAAGTAACGAGGTGTTTCGTACTCCACTTGTACAAAAGAACACGAATAGAAAAGCTTCCAGTGTTCTAACCTGTAAATGCCTGTAGCTACCTCTAGTCCTGGTTTAAAACCAGTCCAAAGCTCATCCGACCTTTTGCAAGGGAAGAAGCTGGGCCAGGTCCTCTGACAGCACTCACAGCGCTATTAGTGTCAAGGGGCTTAAGTCTTGTACTTCTTGGTCTTTTTTGTGACTTTATAGAATGTGAAGCAACTAACGTGTCAAAAAAGTGAGTAAGTGAGATTCAAATGCTTTATTTCTCAAGCTGGTGAACAGTAGCGCAAAGTCTTCTTGGTGAGCACTTTTTCAGTGGCATGGTCCTACAATGTATGGGAGAACTTGTAAACCTGCCTGAACTCCCTCTCGCTTTGCTAATGAAGCCTTTTAGAAACCTCTTTGAAGACCTCTTTGAAAACCTTGGATCAGTTTGAGAGAGAGGACTGCCGATGGAACTGTTGTTTTCCAGACACGGTATTATATGGCTTAATAGCAGGAGGATGTAAATATGTGAGTGTATGTAGGTTCACTGCTAATGCTGCATGTGGTTGTTAGAAAACAATTTCTCTTTTTAATAGTAGTTCTTACTACAGATTTTTCTGTCCTATTAAAAGCATCCCAAAGCATAATTTGTTGGCTCCTAAACAATTTAGCATTATCGAGGATATAATCTACATTGGAAAAAATATGAAGCATTCTAAATAATATTCTGTTCTGAAGTAGGGTGCAGGCTGGCTTGCATAGTAAAGAAGATCTTAAAGCAAAACCTTAGTACCTAAATTAATAATGAAGCAGCAAATTAATTTTTGGATCTATTAACCTTTGTTTGCTAACCTTGACGTAGTCGTGTTAGCCTAGAAAAGAGAACCTTCGTATAGCTACAAGGGTTGTTTTGTCAGTGCTGTAGACAAAATTGCTTAAGCAGCTATAAATACTTAAATACTACGCAGTAAGTTTTCAGATTTCCTAGCAGCCAAAACCTACTTCAGCTTCAATCTGAAGCCAACCAACGGAAAGTTACAAGCAAAATCTGTGTGATGTTATTGGTGGTTGCCTGAAATTCTCATCTGCCACTGCATGTCTTTTGTATTTACTTATTATGTCAGGGCTTAAAGTCTAAGCATCTTCAGGCAAGTGGTGTGCTGGTAAGAGATGCAAGGCTTTAAGGGTAAGCAGTAGTTCCATGCAGGAGATGCAAGTTGCAGCTGGCTGTATTGCCTCTGAGAATTTCTGCTCCCTGAATAATCACTTTTACTGTGTGGAAAACAGTACTTGGGCGGGGGGAAGAATTATGAATTTGTCTGGGTTTGCTAGGGCATTATACTTTTTGTTGGAAGGGTTGTTTGTTTAATTTTTGATGTCTTTGTAATGCTGATGTTGGTAGGAAACCACAAGGTAGGAATTTCAGGTGAAGGGTACTTGTCCTCCCTTCTGGGTTGGGTATCACATTACAAAACAAATAACTATTAGAGCAATTAAACATAAGAAGTTTCATTTCTTTGTGTCTAACAGTGTGGGTTAGCTCACAGTCAAGCTAATACTAAGTAATGGTATTGGTTTGGATTTTTTTTTTCTTTTTTGTACTTAGCCATCTTTTTTTGTGCGAGTTGTAAAATTGTAGTATTTAAATTTAACCTACCCTTGTCCTGTTCAGTTAAGCTTGGTAAGAGATTCAGAGGTTAGTGATGAGGACTTTTTCACATAAGCCTAATTTCTTTGGGAACCAGGGTGAAAAATGAAGCCTACATTGACATCGTAAAGTTATTGTAGTTCATTACAACCAACTATATAACCAATGTCTTGGGAATTCAGAATTTAAAACCACTGTCACGGAACACAAATGTCTGTTTTCCTTTGGAGTTGTGCATTGCCATTTTGTTATAATATTTGAGCACTGTGATTTACCAAAAACCCCCATATTTTGGTAGTACAATTCTCATGGGTTGTGTAGGTTTTTGCTTTTGACATTGACCTAAAGAAGGGCAGCTGGTTAATTTTATGTTCTGCAAAAGTTTTTGAAAAGACAATGAAACGAGGAAGATATTGGGGAAGAACAGTTGATTTGATCTGTCAGGAAGTCATATAAACATATCTTGATGGCACTCCTAGCTTAGTAATGGAAACTGATTAATTTAAGGGTTTTTTCACAGAATTTTGAAAGCCTTTGAAAAAGAAACAGTAGAAAGGAATGAGAAAGGGACAGTGAGGTCAGTGAAGTTGGAAAGGTGAGATGATGGAGAAAAGGGAAAGAACATGGAAAGGATGATCTGAAGACCTAAGACCTGACCGAAGCCCCTTAACCTTTTTTTGTTGGCAGTGAAGGAATTCAATACATACACTCTCCCTCTCTTTCTAATATGTATGTTTTGTTATTATATTTGTATAATATTATCTAACATATTATATATTCACATATATTATAGAGTATACATTTTAAATATATATATCAAGCATCATAAGAAGAGGTTGCAGATAACCAATATGGCAAGCAATTTGAAGGCTAAGAGAGAAGAGAAATAGTCTTTAGCTGAGGAGAGACAAAGATAGAGGGTGTGTGGGCAGGGAATTAAAGTTAAATCGCCCTCACTGTAGATGCAGTTGAGAGAAACAACTGAAATACCTGAAATAGAGATGCTTCTATTTTGAGAAAGCAATTAAGAGAGACTTTAGAGAAGACTTCTGATGCAAAAGTGAGTTTAGTTTTGACCTTATTCTGTAAAATGTAGTGTTTCCTTAAAATATAAATTACACCTTAATGAATTTATTTTTTAATTATCTTATTTGTCTCTGAATTGTCATAAGTAATCAAATGCTAGAACAAGTGTATTTGCATTCATAGAAATTTTAAAAATCTGTGTCTTAGAAACTCAAAATTATAAACCAACCAACCTCCATACAGGAGTTAATTAAATGTTTTCTTGCTTGCTACTTATTTGGTTTGAAGCAGTGTCATATGGCTCTAAGAGTCATAACTTACTGGTCTAAGACTTAATCATCACCACACTCTCAGGTTCAAAGATATTTTGTTCTTTTCTTTTTGGGAATTCGTGATCCTGTGAATAAGTAATGTGATAGGTTAGGTGGTTAGTTGTTTGCTGCTTTGTTTTAATACAAGAAATATGGCCTTTTTTGAGATGACAATTGATTATGTAAATTGGATCCTGAGTTGTTACAAAACCAGATTGTTTGTCACTAGGCCGCATAACCAACTCTGAAAACAACAACAAAAATAAGCCCCCAAAATATCATGGGTTTGTTTTTTCTGATGCACCATATTAAGGTGGTTACTACTATTGTTTAAATTCCCATTGCAGGTTACATCTCTGTGAAAATCACCTTAGAGAATTCACACTGCATCTGTAATTTACCCTGACACAATAGCTGTCATCTGACAGTCACCTACAGAACCCTGTTCTCGAGATTTAACTTTGGTATCAGGTGTGGTAGCACATCCTTGTTCTGAGTTACATGGTATTGGAAAGAATTCCAGAACTGTTCGGGTGCAGTAGGAATAATTAGGATCACTCATGTGCCCCAGTTTCTGTTCTCAAATTGTCATGTTCTGGGAGAAGTGGTTGGGTTTTGACATGCCTTTGTCATGGTCCGTCGTGTGCCCCCACCACCCCTCCCCTTTTCCCCTCTGAAGTATAAGGCTAGGTTTACTTTACCAATGTGCAACTTTAAAAGACACATAATTGCATTCATTTGCAACTTGTTTCAAAGCCAGTTGAAGTTAATAGCTGTTTCGAATAAGTAACTGCAGCCAGTCATTATGCAGAGTAATACCTACTTAAACATTAAGATACTTTAATTATTTTTTTTAAAGAAAACCCAGTTTTTCATTCTGTATTCTTTACACTGTAATTTAAAATAATACATAAAACATAAGCCCGATCATTTAAATTACTGGATAGCCACTGTATTTTCTTGTTTGCAACAATGTCAACAAGGTAATTGGTTTCTTTTTAACTTTTGCAACAGAAAATAAAATTACCCAAGAAAACAGCCAGACGATACCCAGCATATGAGCTCTATCTCTATGGGGAAGGGAACTACGCCGAAGAAAACAAAAATCTCCTACTGACAGGAATTCCAGTTCTCTTTCTTCCTGGGAATGCTGGCAGTTACAAACAAGGTAAGCATTTAGCTAAGTTACAGGTATGTTACAAAGAGCTCTCATATTTATGCATTACTTAATGGCAAGAAGTTTTCTGTTTGAAATAATATCAACAGGAGTCGTAATGGTTGATCATATTATGGTGTAGATATCCTTGTTAGTCCATAGTTAATTTCAAGCAGTCAAAAGACTTCATTTTTGTTTGAAATCAGCTGAACAGTTGAGCTGTAATATTTTTCTGGACACTAACTTTTGAAAGCCAGAAACAATATGGTTTATGCCGTACTATGGCAGCACTGCACCCTTGCTGTATTTTTGATCGCAAACATCTAGTTGGTTTTGAACAATGTTTAGTGCAGTTATGCCAAATAAAACAAGACTGAATTTGATTAGAAGATAACAAGCTACCATCTGTGATGTGAAGTAATTACATGCTATAGAAATAAGCATCATCTTGTGGCTTGCCCTCTAGCTTCCTTATTTCCTACCTCTTTATGTAGTGGTGTTTTTTGGCATCATCTTCCCACTTCACATATAGCCTGCTTTTGTCTTCCAGGTTATTCCCTCTTATGCTTCTAGGCTCCAAATGAAAAGAAGTAATAGTTTTAAAGCATATTTATTTTCCATTGTAAATACTGAAGTTAGTAGTCTGATGAACATGAAGTGTTGTGTTTAAGTGTTTATTCAAGTATCTGGTATTCCTTCCAGGCTGGGTTTTTCAGACCATTGTTTTTGTTCTCTAAAATGTTAAATAAACAGTTAGTAACACTATGTTAGCAAAATTGATGTGCATGTATGGGGAAAACCACCACAGTCTAAACCCTGATGTCTTACTGTGATAATTTTTCCTTATATTTGCACTGAACTTGATGATTAAATTATCTGATTTCAGAGAAAAAAGTTCTTTTCTTTGAGAACATACCCGCTTAGCTTATAACAAAGTAAAATATTTTACCAACTCGTACTTTCAGAAAACCAATACAGACTTGCAGGCACAATAGTATCCAAAGAAGATTACAAACATAATGATTATGAGGGATGCCATATGGACTTTTGTAATTGTGTATAAAGTATTGCAAATCTGTGAATTAATGCTGTCTCTAAAAACACAGCAGTACATCACTATGCAGGAAATAAAATGGTACTTTCAGGGTAGGTTAGGAATCAAAAGGAAGCATATGAAGAAAACTTTACACTAGGTGCGTAGAAGTACTACATGCTGTGGATATAATGTGTGCTACTTAAGATCAGTAAATATTTAAATATTTATTCTTTGTTTTGAGAAATTAATTTAGGGACACTAATGGCAATAAGTCATACATGCATTTTTTCAAAATCTTTGTTAAAATAAATTGTTCTGCCTTAATCAGCGGCTTAGAATAGTTTTTGGTTTATTATGGAATTTATGAAAATTCATATTTTGTTCAGAATTTATTGTGGAGTAGCACACTTCAATTCTGATACCTAGATGAGCAGAGAAGGTGTTGCTATTGTTGTTTTCATACTTGTTTAAAATATATTCATATTTGCTGAGCATTTTTTCTGAAGACAGAAGTGCTGCTGCCGCCTTTTCTGGGCTTGTTATTTTGGTGTGTTACAGGCACTTTTGAAACACATTAATTCATCATCTTTTGTGGGCACTAAAATGAACCACTTAATTTACAAAACTGAGACTTTGAGTAAAAGATGGTGGTGTGGTTTAATTGTTGGGAATGAACCTGAGATTGGCAGAATTGAGATCCTGACTTTTATTTAGGAATCTGTCACACACTTGCCTTCTGATCTTTGGCAATGTTCTTCTGCCTTTTACCATGACCTCCAAGATATAAAGTTGTGATAAGGTACCTGATCTTTTAAATACTTTTTAGGTCTTTTCAAACCATTTTGAAGATGTTCTTATTGCTTATTAGCTTTCGATAGAATTGGTGAAATGACTGACTACAAATTAGATTTACAATTTTCATCATACTGATAAAATCAGTTTGGGTGTTTGAACATACAAAGTATTTCATAAATATTGTTTTCCCATTTAAAGAGCTTTGCTGAAATTTGTTTGATATGTTAATTTGTATAGCAAACTGTTCCAGGAAGGAGGATTCTGCAGGCTGCAGATCTCTGAAACTGTGGCACACTGGAAGAATCTTGATTCTGTGTGCTTGATTTGGGCAGACCTTTCTGGCGATCATTATTTATTTTATATACTTGCTTTTGGGACTTTGTCTTTTATTTTCTTCTTTCTCTACCATGCTTTTTTATTTGCAGCTGTTACTGTTCCCATCCTGCCATGTCTCCATGGAAACTCAGGGACAATTCTGCACTCAGAAGGCTACATTAAATAGCAGCTGGGGTTAGATGGAGAAGACAGGTCGGAAGCAAGATCTTGTAAACAGAACACTTTTTCCCCTCAAGATTTTAGGTGGAAAAGTGTCCTTAAGGGTTTGGTTTTCCAATCCCCCATACATATCTTGGTGGTATTTGGGAATGTTGTCCTAGAGCTGATGGTCTTCAAAGGAATTTCAGGGAAGCGTAGCAGTAGCAATGCCTCTAGAGTTGAAGTCAAGAATGCTCTTTTTGCCTTCTTGTCCTGGTGGTGGTAAGAAGGTGCAAATGAGATGAGAAGAGCAGCCCTCAAGTGGAGGAACATAATCCTTGATCTTGTACAAATCTTTTTTTTTTTTTTTTTTGACATAAAATTTCTCTGTAGTCAGTGGTAAGCTGAGTTGCATGGTTAACTGCCATAAGCATAGTATGCAGCTCTTGGTAACTCATTCCAAACTTTCTTTTCATCTAAGCATGCTTGTTCTTTTCCACATTCTTCTGTAAGCTCTTGTTATGATATGTGATTAGTATTTTTTTTAATCAGAGGGATTCTTATAAAAATAAGAAATAATTATTTCTTTTCTCATTTTACAATTTGGTTCTGACAGTGACTGGCTGATTCTTTTGCTCTGATTATGTATGTCCAAATCTGTTTTTGTAACGCAAGTGTGATTGCATATTAGAAAAGAGAATATTTGCTTTTGGATGTCTTTCATCCTTTTTTCCCTTTTATAAATGACTTGAGATGAGCAGTGGATTTAAGGTAACATTTGTTTCTTAATAGATAATACATTTATGTGTTTGTCTACTAATGATGGTGCTAAGCAGTGACTATTAGACTGTTCTAATTGATGTGGTTTCTTTTCCTAGTACGTTCTCTTGGCTCCATTGCACTTAGAAAAGCAGAAGATATTGACTTCAAGTATCATTTTAATTTCTTCAGTGTCAACTTTAATGAGGAGTTGGTTGCATTGTATGGTGGTAGTCTGCAACGACAGACCAAGTTTGTGCATGAATGCATAAAAGTAATTCTTAAGTTGTACAGGGTAAGTAGTGACTTATGCTGAATAATGTACTTGCATTTTGGAATGGAATTCTGGGCTGCCTTTTCTGCTGGAAAACTGGAGAGTGATGAATAAGGGAGGGAGACTTTATAATCTGTGTGAATAATTGAATGTGATAATAGTGCAATAGAGAAGTGCTGCTCTTTAATAGATTTTTAATGCTTGTGACAATCCCAGAGCCTTGGTGTTAGGTTCTATATTACGTTTCTAAGTAAATACTTCCATGCACAATGTATGCTTTTTTGGTAGTGGAGATGTAAACTTTCCCTAGCTTATTAAAATATTAATATAGCATCACCTTACATCCAGTTTTCTCTAGTAAAGTTCTTTGATAGCCTATGTCCCTAAAAGTCTCAGAAATTAAAATAAACTGAAGTTTCTTATGCTTACACAGGCTATATAATATTTCATTTTGAGCTGCAAACTTGGCGTTAAGCATGTTTTTTGAGATAGCAACTAAATTTATATTCATTTTGTAAACTTGTCAAGTTGATACTAGTTAATATTATCCTTGAGAGGACAGAAGTTAATTTTTGGGAAAAAAAATGTACAACTGATAACCATAGTTCAATGTCAAATCTATTTTTGATGTGTCTAATTGCTCTTTGCTTAAGGATCGAGAATTTGCACCGACCAGTGTTGCAATAGTAGGTCATTCCATGGGTGGTCTTGTTGCAAGAGCATTGCTTACTCTGAAGAATTTTAAGCCCGAACTTATAAACCTCCTCATTACGCAAGCCACACCTCATGTTGCACCTGTAATGCCTTTAGACAAGTATCTTACTGGTAAGTATAGCAGGTTATCCAATTACATTGTATTTATTTATTGATCCTCTCAAGCATTGATAGGTGAGATTCTTGCAAATCAACAGCAAAATGTGCTGTTTTGTTTACTGTAATTAATCTATTCCTTTGTTACTCAGGTGGTTGTGTGAGACCACTAGGATACTGAGAGAAAGTAAGGTGTCATATAAAATGGATTATGTGGACTTCGGCTTCTGTGCAGGGCCTGGAGCTCTCGATAACTTGTAATTTTAGGAAGTGGCAGAGCATGTTGCTAAATTTGTAAGGTCTCCAGCAAATGACATTTTTTCTTTTTTGTAAAACCTGGCCTCTGTAATGGCTTTCTTTATCAAATGAATTGCCTAAATAGAGTTGCTAAATTTAATGTTTGTCATGCCCAAAGGTTGGGAGGATGAGACTATTGAATATAGATATAATTATATATTTTATATATATTTAGATAAAAGACAGATTGTATTTTCTGCTCACGTAAGTAACTGTGGCATAAAAAATAAAGTATAGTCATTATGCATGTACTATACACTTCTTGAAAAGCTAGATTTGACTAAACTATACTGGTGAAATACGTGCTCACTGATAATTGTGCTGCTACGTGTAGATGTTGAGGGAATTGGTGACGAAAAGGGAATGGACATTTATTTTCATTATTCTCTGTGGCACCTGAGAGGACTGGATTATCTTTAGCTGCTGAATTTGATTTATTGTGCTTGTATTAATTCTCCCTCTTACAATTGATTGCAATGCAATGCTTCTTCCTTGCTGACTGTTGGTGGACTGTGGCTGTCCTTAAAATAAATCTGTGGTTTGCTACTTAAACAATATATGTGCTTAGCTGATATAGAAAGTGTAAGTGTATCTGTCTTTCCCAACTGCTACCTCCTTGGGATTAAAACAGTAACTTTCCTTCCTCATATGAATCAAAAATGATAACTGGAGCTTGAATGTCCCTAGGGGGGCCTTACAGAAACTTTTAGTTAAATGTTTCTATAGCTGGTTTGTATATCCAATAGACTTATGGGGAAATTGTGATTGATTTTAATATATTTTATAGATTTTTATACAGCTGTAAACAATCATTGGATTCTAAAGGCCCAAGATTTAAGAAATTTAACTACCCTTTCTGTGGCGGGAGGATTCAGAGATTACCAAGTTCGTTCAGGACTGGCTTTTCTACCAAGATTGAGTCAACATGACAGTGCCTTATCTGTTGTGGTAAAAAAGCAAACTATTTTTTTGGTTTTGCATGGAGCTATGTTAGATAGCTATTTATGTAATGCATGCATCGGTGTCTAATTATAGTCTGTATGTGCAGCACAGTATAAATACGAAAATCCTACAAGTGACAACACAAAGTAGATAGTGTACAGTTATAAACCCATAAATAATTGTTGTAGTATAAATGAGTGTCCACTGGAAGAGGATGTGTTTTGGGGTGGATTTGACTCATCTGTTACTTGTTACAGTTTCTTCTCACCACCTTCTTGCACCTTTTTAGTTTCAGAACTCAGGTTTTATTTTCCTGCGTTTTTACAAGAGATGTGTATGTGGAGACTGACAGATGTGCAGTACAGGAGTAAACTGCTGGTTTGATTATAAAAAGACAGCTTTGGCTTCAAGCCTTCTTTTTGTATTTATTGTTTTTCAAAGAACTTAGGAATAGAAAGAATCTACTGGATCATCAGGTCCAGTCTTTTGCTTTTGCAGGCATCTATCTCCTTCCAAAATTAATCAAGCAACGTCATAGAAGCAGTTAGGTTTGTCATTCCATCCCCCCACCATCAACTTGTTCCCAACATGGAAGAAGCTGGAAGACATTCCTCAGTGGGAAGAAAATTTGTAATTTCCAACTTGTATTTACTGTGCAAGTCAGATTTTAAATGCATTTGTTCTGACGTTGACTTGAAATGTTATCTGAAATACTTGTCATTCCCTTGGTTTTTACCTCCCTGTCCATTATACAGAAAGCTGTCTATAAATAGTCTCAGCTCTGATTCTGCTAGGCTAAGAAGATTAACTCTGTATTCCCTTTGTCCTAGTAACTGTTCTCTGCATCTGCTCTACTTTCTTTTCTCTTGAGTTTTGGCAACCAGAATTTTGCATGAGATCTCAAGTGTAGTGGTACCAGTTCTTTCTCATGGTTGTTTTTGGTTTGTGGGCTTTGCAGGTTTTGTTTTGGGGATTGTTTTGTTGTTTGGTTTGGTTTTTTTTCTTCCCGGCTGTAATGTATTAATAGTTCATAGCTTACTTGAATCAGGTTGTACAACTAGGTGATGAGCTCCATTTATGGGAGGTGTTTTTGCATTTTAGGGACTAATAATATCAATATATGCAATGCACTTACGCAAATGAATAGCTTCAGACTGTCCAGTTCTTTCTACGCGGTGTTCTGATGCTCCTTTCTGTTGAGGATGCCCTTGCTTTTTCAGCAGCAGTTTTTATCGGCATGCTTCTATTCTTGTGTGCCAGGATCACTTATTAAAATAGTAAGATTAGTCATAGAAGCAGTCTTTGAAGAAATTTTTGGTAAGTTTCCTCCATACTATTATTTGCCCTTTCACCATTAGTCTCTGCTATCTAACATAGATAACTTAGTCATTTTGTTTTACAAGTGCTTAAGCACTTGTAAGATTTTTGACTGAAGAAGTCATTCTGTTGTACCCTAGTCCCTGAAACTCTTAAGATAAACACTATTCTTTTTAATAATTGCGCAAATATGCTTATAGAAGGAGGGGAAAGGCTTGCTTAGAATTTTAAAATGTTGAATACTAACAAAATATTAACTTTTTTCCTTCCTTAAACAGAGCTCAGCTGTGCCTAGAGCTTGGGCCTCAACAGACCATCTCTCCATAGTGTGGTAAGCTAATGGAACAAAGGTTAATTGGCTGGCCGTACAACCCTCTGTTCTCTAATGTTACACATTATACAATAATTTAACTTCATAATATTATTGAATATATGATGTCTCTTCTGACCACTTTTATTCCCCTGGATATTTCCTTTCTAGATTTAATTTTACTTATTTTGTCTTCTAGGTGCAAAGAATTGGTCCTGGCTACCATTAGAGCTTTTTTTGATCTCATAGATGAAAATACAAGGCAGGTTTGTATATGTGATCTCCTGTATATTTCTCCACTACGCTTTCTTCTTCCATCCCAGAATGCTTAATCAGGATAAATATCAGCCTATTATACAGAAAACTCCTTTTTGATTATTCTAAGTCATGCTGAGAAAATTGTTGCCGTTTTGCATCAGTCACTGAGAAATCCTGTGGCTTTGTGTTGTTTGACCAACATGTCAGAAATAATTAGGTGTTAACTCAGGTTTTAGTATTGACTGCTTGATGCTTTATAGCTGGGATGTAGACTGAACTTGTCTTCCATAATGCAGCAGGTTTAGTTGACCTTGCACCAGGATAAACAAATTTTGTGAGCTGTGTAGCTTTGAATGGGACCTCTCAGTGTTTCTGTCACCTTTTCTGACCAGTATACAAAGGGTGGACAAACTGTGATAGTTTAACTTGGACATAATACTTCTGGAACTTCCCCATGTGTTGTCGTCATAGTGGCCAGCATGTATTTGTGGTGTTCTCTTGCCGTAGCACTTAGAAAAATAGAATGCAAGTAAAATACCAGCATATTTGTTTACCTCCAGCTACCATTATTTATTGTGTTTCTAAAGAAATATCCTGCATCTTACTTTTTGAAAACTGTTGGAGAAATCTCTCATTGTACTCTGCTCTTTCTGAAATGTTATGCAGCACTAAACATGAATTGGGATTGAGGTCCAAGAGGTTGAAAATATGTAAGAGCAGAGCCCCTGACATAGAAGAGGAAGGCTTCCAGGTGTTCTTTTTGAGGCTGTTTGGGGCAGACTTCTCTAGTTTTAGGTGCACTCCCTTTAACATGTAATTTAGAGAGACAAAAAGGGGATACAGTTGTTCTAGAGTTGACTGGCAGTGTGCTAGAGGGTAAAACTTCAGAATTCAGTTGTAATGGCCACAATTTTGAAAAGCTGAATGGAAAAAAATTAGTCCTGGAAATACGATTTGGGGGGGAAAAAAAACAAAACTCCAAACAAAAAAAAACAACCCCAAACAAAAGCAAATCCCAATGTAGCTCTACAGCTATTTGGATGCTTGAAATATTAAGACGAGATGTAGTAAGCTGGATTTGTGAACTCAGACTAGTAAATATAAATGTGAGAATTTTTTCTAAACTCTGGTATAAGTGTGTTCTTTCGGGACGAATGCATATGTGGCTATAAAGACAATTTAATAGAATTATTTCCTTGCATCAAGAGTAGGCGAGGATATAAAATTCCTGAAAGTTTTAGCTATGCTGTATAACGTGTAGATTTTCTGTATTTCAGTGATTGACTATTGATGGCATCTTATTTGTTCAGATTATTGAATTTAGAATAGAAAGTGTACCATGTCTTCCAACAATCTCTTCTGCCTCTCATCCCCAAAACTGTATTGCTAGCTATGATCGTGTGACGATTGTAAATGACACAAATTGGTAAAAAAAAAATTGACAATGTGCTCTTTTTTTAGATAACTGAGGATCCAAAGAAGAGAATGTCTGTACTGAATCACCACTTTGTGAGACACCCTGCAAAGATATTTGAGGAAAATCCTGAAGCTTTTGCAGAACTCACAGGTGTGCAGGAGTTTTCATTTGAACAGGATTCAATGATACTCCTTTGTTAATAGTTAATCTTCTCACTAACAAACTTCTGGAATACATTTTGTCCTCTTCAGACATTGCTAAGATGATATATGGATTATAGACCTAAACTATCAGGTTTTGTGTGGCTTCAGCACTAAATAGGTTAAAATGAGTAGGAGCAAAGATCTGTGACTTTTATATGGCTTAGATTCTCGGGGATGAGCAGGAGTCATATTTACAGCAGAGTATCCAGTAGACAATCTCAAAAATTTGGAATAGCTGAATGCCAAAGGTAGAGTCTTGCATCCCATGCTTGCATCTATGCTTGCATCCCATGCTTGCAAGAGGGATAGTATGGGTGTTAGCCATTGTGTTAGTTTTGTGCTACTCATGGAAATCCTGAATATTCAGATCTGCTTCATCAGTGACTTCCTTTTTTTCATGACATGGCAGGGTAAAACGAACTGCACACTAATGGTTTCCTTGTAACTGCTAAGAATGCATAGTTAAAGGTGAGAAATTTTGACTGCATGGAATCTTGGAAACTAAACAAAACTTTTGCAGGGCACAGCTGTATTCCTAGTTTTGGTGAAGTGGACTGAACCATTTTATGAAAACCATTTTATTTCAGGAATTTTCTTAGTGTAAGCTATTGCAGAAGTACTAAGGTAGCTTGAACATTGGTGTCCAGTTTTGGCCACCCTGGTATAACAAGACATTTACGTGTTGACATATACCGAAGTGAGTATGGAGCAGAGGACCACCAAATTGGTTAGCTCCTGGGGCATAGGACATGGGGGAGAGATGCTGAGTGAACTGGGTTTTTTCACCCTAAAGAGAGTGCTAAGGGGGATCCTGTTGCTGTCTTCAACTACCTAATGAAAGACTGGAGAGAAGGTGAAGCTAGATTTTTCTCAGAGGTGCACAGTGATAACACAATAGGCAGTAGAGTCCAGTTACAACAAAAGAAATTCCAATTAGATATTAGGAAAAAGTATTTCACCAGGAGGGCGGTCAAACACTGGAACAGGTGCACAAACAGGTTGTGGAACTGAAATTTTTGTTTGTTTGTTTGCCTTTTTTTGGGTCAGGTTTTAGCAATAAGGAGGAATATGTTTAAATTGGATTTCATGTTTGCATCTTCCTATTTGTGGTGATCTCTTGACACTTAGCTAAATTTCTGTGATGAACTTGTTACTCTAGTTACACAGAAAAAAGATATTAACCTTTTTTGCATGACAGTTTGCATTGTTTGTACCTCTGATCTCTTCATTATTGCATTTACTCTTTTTCTCCAGACATATCTTTAAACTGCTACTGTTTTCTTGTACGTGTTGTTCACTTCATTATTTGACTTGCTTCTACAGAAGTTTCTGTATTAGTTTTCTTAAAAGGCTGACAGGAACAAAGACTGGGGCTGTTTCTAATGTTGCCTCAGCTTTAATCAGTCACTTACCTTGTAATTACGTTAGTATCATTCAGTTTCTTACTTGTTTTGTTGCCTTGAGAGCTTTGTTTCAAGATTCATAGGGTTTTTATTTTACAATTAATATGTAGTAATTGGATCCTAGGGTTTTGCTGTTTCCTGTGTAACTGATGGTGACTATTGCATGTTATTGTTGATTAAAGTTTATAAAGTTTATGGCCATTTACAGATAAGAGATAAGAACTTAGTGATAAGTAAAAGATAAAATTCTGGGGACAAGGATAATAGTTCCTGCAGTGTGGCATATAAAAACATATTTATTTTTAGGAGCTTTCATGTGGATTACAGTCAAAGCCTCAAAATGGACTTACTCAGTTTACAATGTAAGTAATATTTTTTTTTCCTCATTGTGTTTTTCTTTTTTTTTTTTTTCCACTAATGAGCAATTTTTTTTTCTTTTAAGGATTCTGATGGAAAATATTTCATATTTCCTCTTGCAAGCCACAGAAAATTATACAGTCACATTTACTGTGAAAACAGTATGTTGGTGAGAAAATACTTCTTTAATGTCTGGAATTTGTTTATAAAGCTTTATTTTTTTATTTTAGATTTGCTGCAGCTTTAAGACAGTTTAATGAACAGTGGTTGAAATTACTGACATCCGTTTACATTTGCAGCCTAATACATTGTGTTAGATGTACTTCCTGTTTTAGCATGTCACACTTAGTGTTCAAGATCTGAAACCTTCAATGCCACCTGAACCTCAGATGTTTTATTTTTGACTCCCTTATGGGTAGCCCCAGATTACTTTCTCCTTTAATTTAGTGCAGTTCTGTATTGATGGTTTTGAATGAAGAAGTTATTTTTAGTGCTGTCAGGATTCAGCCATACTTCTAATTTGGGAAGGGTGTTTGTAGGTTTGCTTTCCCATAATAAAATTTAAGTGAGCCTGAAAGGCTACAGAGATCTTCCACTAAGCAGTGGAAGTGAATGGAAGCCAGATGAGAAAACAGCACCTTCTCAGTTGTCTCCTCTTTTGAGAGGAGAGGCGATAATGTGCATATCTTGTATTTTTAGCTCAAGACACATGAATTCCGCCAAAATGTTTTTGAATTTTTTTTAAAAATATTTTTGAAGGAATGAATGTAATCTTGTGGCAAACTGGAGATAGATAAATATGCTTTTCAGAATTATGTATTTTAGATTAGTGGCAAGAAAATTGAGATGCTTTCTCATTCCATCCTGTCTGTCCCTATTGCCACTCCTCCCCTTATCAAAGAGGTTCATACCACCATTGTGGAAAAAGAGTGTATATTCTCGGTGCTTTTCTCATTGTCCTTCCCAGTAGCACCTTTGATATTTACTCATTTCTTGTGATCTTAGTTGTGCATTAGTAGGGTAACTTTTGCCTTTCTTGTAATACCTTAAAGACAGGACTAGTACTGCTTGAAGAGGAGGAGGTACAGAACAATGTCTGAGATACTTGCATGATGGTGTTATTGCTTCAGAACACTTACATTCTCAAGGCTGGGGAGCAGCAGAACATTAAAAATCGAAAGTGTTCCTTGACTGCTTAGGATAGTACCCTGAGACTTTTTTTTTTAGTTAGAAAAGATTAAACTGTACTAAAATTAAATTTTACATCATATGTAAGGCAGATATTTTTTGGAAGAGAAATGATGAAAGTCTGTTTGCTTAACCTTGTATTTGTTTTTAGAAAATCTATTGATTCATAACTAGAAAAGGTGACAAATGGAAGTTGTTTAAAATGGTTCCTAGAAATCCCCACCTTTCACTCTTATGTTTCATATTCTCGTCCTTGTAATTGTAATTCCAATGTTATGATATCAGACTTTTAATGGAGGATATCACTTGCTGTTAACACAGAAGTCTGACTTCATTGTGAAATGAAGAAAAAAGTTGGTGGATATCTTTCATTATAAATAATTGAGGAAATCTGAGACAGACTGTTTTTATCATCATCTTTGCTTTTACACTTCGGAATTTGACATCCTTACGTGAGTTTTGTCACTATAGTGATAGCTGCTGCAGACACACTTAATAAAAACAGTGTGAGATGAAGGTGGAAGTTTGTTCCTCTTTTTACTAAGTTATTTGCACCAAGGTTCTGCTATCAGAGGATTTTTAGAACAGTTGCTGACATCTGGTGTACCGAAACAGTTAGCATATCAAAATTTTGGAGATCAGCAGCATTAACTCCTGCATTGTTTGGAGTAAAGAATTGCTATTTTTAATATATTTATAAACACATTCACACACAGGTAATGTACTGTTTTATGGTATTGACTTTACAGGACACAAGTAGCTGGATTTATGGCTGTAGGAACAGTAATTCATCGATGTGGTGAGTATAAACAGTTCCTGTTCTTTATTCAAATGGATCTTGTAAGACTACATTTGAATTTAAAGCATATAAAATATCTTCCTTCTTAGGAAGAGATTAGGATGAAAAGTAAAATTCTTACTGTGAATAATTCATGCTTTCTGTATCACCAAGAAAACAGGAAAGAATAGGTTTTCTCAAAATTACTGCATGAATGCAGAATAAAATAGGTGTACTTTTTCTTCTTAAAGCTATATTTTTGACCTTCATTGCAGTGAAAAGTTGCTCCTGTTGCTCTCTTGTGGACACTACATGCTGTGCTAGATTCCTAAATCGTGTGTTTTGTAGCATCTCTTTAGAATCCTATGACAGAAGACATCAAATGTCACTCAAAGCCTTCAGAAGAGTGGATTGAAGCACCTCTTTTATCTTCTTATTCCAAAATTGCTATTGGCATATGAAAAATATGTAGAAATGTGGGTGATTCAGTGACCATTTTAATCAGGTCATTACAATCATTACAAAATGGATTTAAAACACTGGCTTAGTTTACATTTGCAAAGTAAGCTCAAAGTAAAATTCAATCTACCCTTCAGATTAGGGAAAGCTTCCAGGCGGAATTGAGCTAGCATCATATTTATGTGTTCTGGGATCTGTGTTGAGGTGTATAGCCACAGAGCCTTGCCTCCAGCTGATAGCCAGATGTCATAATTACTTTTTCCTGATCCAAGGAGAAGTTGGCTGTTACTCCTTTGTATAACCTTTGATGAGCATCAAGTGCAGGTTAGTCTAGTTCAGGACTGCTGCCTAAAACCTCATCTAATAATAGTGTTTTTGCTGTGGACTGTCCTGAGGTCATGTAACACTACTCAGAGAAACAGCAGTATCCTGGTATTCTAAAAATCATAACTTAAAATTACTGAATGAATGTGTTGCAGTTCGGTGTGTTAACATAAGTACACACATTTTAGAACTGCTGCAAGCTCTGCAAGCAGCTAACAACATCTTTGTTTTATATGGTATGTTTTAGATGTTGCCATAGGAAAAAGTGGTACTTTGGGTGTTTAAAAGATGCTAATAAAACTGTATGTTAATTCAATGCCAGTGCTGTTTTAGCTTATTAAGTTTTCATTATGTGTCTGAAGTTGCATGGCTAATAACTGCTGAATGTTTTGTGTATGACAAAGTTAGAGATTTGCTTAACTTGTGTTTGCAAAAACAAGATTTGCAGTATCTGAAATGCTTATAATTTGATAAATTGCTGTGGTAGCTAACTGCAGTAGACCCAAACTTGTTCTCAGTTTAAAAATCATGTGGATCCATATAGAGAAAGAGAAAAGCTGGTATGTTATCCACTGTCATAATGTAGTGCCTACATAATGAATATGCTCATCCTTTAATGTGCATGAATTTTTACAGCCTGGAAGCTACTGATTTATCCTGGAGAGCTGAGTTACTTCCAACCACCAAGGTAAGTATTGTACATAACTTGTAGGAGGAAGAGGTGCTTTGTGGGGTTGTTGCACATCATGGGAGAAGGATCTGTTCTGTTTACAGCATTGGAACATGCAGTTGTATTCCAGAGGAAGGGGTATGAGAGGTGGGCATCTGGGAACTGGCAAGGGGCAAGCTAAGGGTTATGTTCAGTAATGGCTTTTATGGTTTGTTTTTTTTTTTTTTTCCTTTTTTCCTTTCTCTCTCTCTCTCTCGTTTGTTTGTTTATGTTTTAAGGTTGTAATACTGAAACTTCAGGACTATCCTTTGTCCCACATTGTCATTCAGGTACCACCCACAGCTGGCAATAAGGTAAAAAAAAAAAAAAAAAGAAATGTAGAAATTGCTTGCTTAATGTGTTCATAGCTTTCAGATGCTATGATGGAAGGAAAAGGAAGTATATTAAACGTGCTAAGTTATTTTGAGAAACCATAGATGTACAATTCAGTGTGGTTTGAAGGTAACTTTGTGATCTTCTGTAAGTTCAGAAACATTTTCATTTGATAAAATACCAAATGCAAGGCATGAATAGTACTTGAAACACACAAAGCAACAGTTCTCAAACCAGTTCTTAGAGTTCTTGTTGGAGGTTCTGCTTTTAAACTGCTTTTAAACTGCTTTTAAAAAGTAAACAAATGCTGGATTTACAATGGAATGGAAAATAATTTTTAAGTGAACTAAATACTTATTAGAGATGATACAACTCATACCTGCTGGATACTTTGCTTTGCTTTTGAATGATTAAACCTCAGGAGACAAACTAAAGGTTCTTTTTGCTTAGGAAATTGTATCCAGAGTTTGGACAAGTCACTCTCCTCTCCAACACTCCCTCCAAAGAAGAATGTACCTGAGGAGGGATGTGAGCTGGATTCTAGTCATTCTCAGCTGTTTGAATAGCCTTTTGAAGGCTGTTGCAAATAGGCGAGAGCTAGAGTAATCTGGCAGTCATGCTTAAGCTACCCAAACTTGTACTGCTGTGTACAGGAACAAACTAGCTGCAAGTCCCTATCAGTGGAGTGTGGAGAGGTGGCTTTTCAGTATTTGTGTCCTGGACTCTGCCTGAGCCTGTGCAAAGGGTTTATAGTCTTGTGCTCAGTTTAGATCTGTATTTAATATCCTGAATTGCAGTATACTTTGGGCTGTGAATTCTTCAAAGAAGATTCCAGAACAGTACAGCTTCCTGTAACACATCTTTTCTCATTTGGTAAGTATAGCATATAACTTCTGTAAGAAAAATGGAAAACTAATGTTACTAATATTTGGATAATAAATTTGCCTAAAAATTCCAATGGTCAGGAGTTTTTTGGGGGTTTGTTTTTACTAAAGTAGTACTGTTTTTGTTAGTAACAGACAAAGAAATAAGAAATATGGGGTTTTTGAGTAACAGACATAGAAGCACATAAGTCTCCTGGAAAAAAAAAATCTGAAGATGTAGTGAGTTCTCAATTAATTTTATCTAATATGTGAAAATAATACGTCCTTTACAGGACTTTCTTCAAGCAAAATTCTATTAAATTCAACTGGCTTAGTTTACAATGTACAGCTCCAGCACTTTAACCAAGTAAGAATACTACCTAATTTTTTAAGCTAATGTAACCACTGTATGGAGAATGTGAGTAATTTTTTTTTTTTTTAATGTTCTAGATATATCAAGCTTTCAAAATTTATATAGAGAGCCACTGCCAGTCACTCAAAGGTAAATGTAAGTCTTCTAAAGTATACATTTATAAAACAAAGCTTGTTGAAAATTCTCAAGACTGAAGCTGGTGGAAACAAAAGTCCTCTCATGCAATGGGGTTTAGGCAGTACTGTTATAATCTGTTCAAATATCTTTGCTAATATCTCTCGCTTTCCACTTTTTCTTAAGAAGGATAGCTCAAAGAAAATGTGGAATTAGTCCTCATATGTTTGTTTTTCTTACTTCCCAGCAAAGGGAAGTTGAACTTT